ACGCACGCACACGCAACGCACCTTTCTGCCCGTGCTCCATCGGTCTCCGCCGCACGCCTGGCGGCAGTCCTCTGACGAGCAGCAGCTCTCGCCCGGTCAAGCTGTGGGCTGCCTAGGGGCTCCCTCTCCCCGTGGCTTTGTCTGCGCCGCGAGTCTGTGTGCGTCTCTGCCTCACGGAGGGAGTTCGGGTCAATCGGCCCCAACGGACGTCTACTCATCATGCAATTGCCATGCCATGCAGGCCGCTGTGGCTGTGTCCGCTCTGCGCTGTTGGTGTGTCGCTGTGCCCGCTGAGCGCGTGTTGTCTGCTGTGCGTGTGTGTTCAGTCTGCTCGCTGAGCGCGTGTTGTCTGCTGTTGCTGTTTGCTGCTCTGCTGTGTAAAAAAAAAAAGTGCGCCCTGTAGTCACAAATCAAGTCCTGTACTCTAAAACCTAGTTTAAGCGAACACAACACACGCACGCACTTTTTTTCCTGCATCGGCCCCTATATTGCGCTGAGCCCTCTCAGGCAAGATTAGAAATCTCGCTTCGCTCGAATAAAATACTTGAGTATGAGTTTTTCTATATTTTTTCTCCCATCATCGGATTTTGTCGTCTGCCCCTCTGGACCCTACCCTCCACTTCTACTAGCTAGACGACCCAAACGGGATCACATAGGAGGGGGGGGGCTGGACCCCCTCCTGCGGTTCCTGCCTGAGGTATTTTTATCGCGAGAAGGGTACAGCAATCCCTTCCCTCGCGACCTACGAAGTCGATTGTGGTTTACCTACTAACAACGAGCTTTACAACGCGTCGCTTTCATCCTAGACCAGGATGTATTTAGTGAGAGAAAAACTCACTCTGCCTGGACTCGAACCCATGACCTGGCCCTTAGCAGGCTACGAGGTTGCCCACCAGACCACCTGGGTTGTTGTTGTTGTTGTTTCTCACGTCAGCTCTAGACCAGTTTGCAAAAAAATGGGGGTCCCNAAACTCACTCTGCCTGGACTCGAACCCATGACCTGGCCCTTAGCAGGCTACGAGGTTGCCCACCAGACCACCTGGGTTGTTGTTGTTGTTGTTTCTCACGTCAGCTCTAGACCAGTTTGCAAAAAAATGGGGGTCCCATGGTCTCAAAACCCGGCACATAAACGAATATAGGGTACAAACCACTTGGAAAAAGAAAACAAAATGATAGAAAGCAAAGAACTTCTCCCTCCTTCCCCTCGCTCCTCGACAAGCTTTTGCTTAGACATGGGTTGTAG